GAGGTGGCCTTGCTGCTGAGGGCTGGAGATGTCCACGCAGAAGGAGTAGTGGGGGCCAAGGAAGCAACTTGAGCCACAGCGGGTTGACTACGCGTAAGCTCCTGCTGAGGCGGCAGAAGAGATTCTACAGGAGCCCGGTGGGGGAAGAAGTGTCTGGAGATGAAGCTACAAAGACGGAGCAGGAAGCCTTTCAAGAACAAAGTTGAGACTGACTGTGGCCTCTAGACAGAGCAAAGACACCGACAGTGTGCCGGGGAGCGCGGCCAGCTCCACCCTGCAGAGCAGTGAGTCACAGAGGAGAACCAGGGGCCGCGGGACAGAGCTCCCAGGGCCTACACGAGAGGTGGGCACTGCCAGAGAAGGAGGGAGAGACGTGGGTGAACAAGGAGCTGGCCACTGGCTGTGGGCAGAGCTTCAGGCAGAGCGGCCCTCGGAGGCCAGGGGATGTGCCACACGCAGCAGAAACAAGCGCGAAGAGGCATCTGAGGTCAGGTTTGGTGTCGGAGGTCGGAAACACAGGACAACGGGGGGTGCTGGGGAGGCAGCTAGAAAGAACTCGGGGCCCTCCCCGTCCAAAGCGCAGTCCCAGGACTCGGTAGCCGTGGGCTGCGTTCAGCCCCGGGGAGTGAACGCCCGTGGCCAAGGGCAAGCGAGAGAAGCGCTGGAGAGCCGAGGCGGGAGCCCGTGGAGCAGCAAACTGCTGAGGGAAGACAGCAGGACTCTGCAGGGGAGGCCGTGGGCGAGAGCAGGGTGGACTGCAGAATGAGCCCGAGCTGGACTGTGGAGACTCCATTAGCAGCAATGAGGCCGTCAGCAGCGAAGGGACTGCTGGTTTTACAGACAACGAGAAGAGCACGCTGCTTCACACCCACACTCTCCGCTTATCGGCTGCGTGTTTCTTAAAGGTTTCCAGTGAATCTTGGAAAGGCCACCGGGTGGGGAGCCGGAGAGCACCCGCTCTTGTCTGGACCCATCAGCCATCCGACTCGGGGGTGTTTCCGACATGTCGTGCGCTCTGCCAGGGGCTGGGCCACGGGGCAAGGGCCCTGGGGGCTTGGTGCGCAGCAGGGGAGCCCGCCTGAAGCTGCAGGGGCCATGTAAATGCAGGAAGCCCAAGTTCTCTGAAACGACAGCACTGGAGTGGGGCCCAAAACGACGGTCAGGGCAGGCGTCCAGAACTTGTAGTTGAGTGGCGACCCGATACAAGAAGTGGAAGCAAAAATGGGACAGTTTCCCCAGAGGACAAGACGGCTGGCAACGGGGAGACGGGCGACGTGGAGCTGCCGGGAAGAGGGGGGTCAGGAGAGGCCTGGGCGTGCAGTCTCCCCAGACTTCCAGCACTTAGTCTGGACAAGAAGTGACTCCGTTTAGAAGGGAAAATGAGTAGAGCTTGAAAGGCTGCGTAGCAGGGTGGGCAGAGGACGCTGACGGCGTTCCGGTGACTTTCTGGCTGGACAGTGGGTGGCTGGGGCGGCCACGGAGCAGAGCGCTGGGCAGTGAAAGAGGGGCATAAGCCGAGGGCGTGTCTGCTTCAGAGGGCGTGAGGTGCCCGGGGCCTAGACAGGGCCGTGGGCACTGTATGGTGAGAAGAGGGTTTGGACTCGCCCGAAAGGTGTCGACACACAGAAACGTCCAGGTAGAGAGAGCTGACGGGGAGCGAGGACGTGAGATCAGAGGGTCACGTCAGGAAAAGCGGGGAGAAGCGAGCTCTCCCGCCGAGGGGGCCTGTGCCCCGGGGTCTGACCTGTGCAGGAGGCTGTCTGCACACCTGGAGGCCTGACAGGCGGTGCCGAGAAGTCCCACAGCTACGCGCTGTCTTATACAGTCACCCGCAGTTAACGCGGTTCCCCCCCCCCCCCCCCCCCCGACTAAGCCTAGGACCATTCACATTCTTCTCTCACTCTTCCAGGCCTCTTTAGGACAGTGACAGAGCCAGAAAGTATGAATTTGCACTGGACAGCGCTCCGGGTCTTTGGCGTTATTGCATGGGGAGTACCTGCCCCCAGAATTCCCGGGGTCCCGCCTGCAGGCTTTCCCCCCAGGAACCTGGGAATCCCCAGACAGTATTTCGGATGCATGGGTATTAGCCTGACCACCTCAATTCTATCAATAAAGCACGTGGCCTGCCTTCCTGCGGGCCTTCTGGGCTGCCACTACTTGCTCTCCAGAGGAAACGGGGGGTGACAGAGGCTGCTCCCCACGGAACCCGGGCATCCAGGCAGCCGCTGGTGTGGCCGCCCGTCCCCTCGCTGCTTGAGGGACATGGTAGCGCCAGCCTCCTGCTCTTCCTCCGAGTCGCTGTGGCAACAGAGCCAACCTCGGGGAGCACAATACACAAGTGAGTCATCTCCGCCTTCTGCTTTCCCTGACTGGGCTGTCAGGCGCTGCCTCCCGCGACTCACTCACTCGGCTCCTCTGCCCCGGGGACACGCTCTCTCCAGATTCCTGCGCTCCCGGCCCTCCTGGGCCAGGGCAGTCACGATGCTGTTCTGCTGACACAGCACAGAGGCATCCAGGCCAATTCCAGCCCGAGCGCCCTTGCTACGCCCCAGAACGCAGAGGAGGCCCCGGTAGACCCCGACTGTGCAGAGCAGACGCTGAACACACCCTGCGAAAGTGCCGAGGGCCGGGAGCCGCGAGCCTGTCCCCGGGGCTCAGGGGCTCCCTCTGGCCCACTCCGGCTCCAGGGGTGCACACGTGCAGCCCCGTCTCAGCCTGCCGAGGCCCCGCGGAGGCCTCAGCTGAGAGGTTCACTTTTTTTTTTTTCACTTCTAAAAAATGACAGCTTCTCAAATGTTTTTTTTTTTTTCCCTTGCCATCACCTAGAGAGCAACTGAAACCTCTATTTCCAAGGAGGGTGGTTTTCAGGAGGGAGTTCTGGAAGTCACCTTTTTTGTCCTCCCACCTTCTAGGTGCCTCCGCCCCATGTCCTCCGTGTCCCCAGTTGGGTCAGCTGTCATGTGTTTGGCCAAATGGTCACACTGTGGAGGCCACAGGCAGAGGCGTCATGTGCTGCCTGACTAACTTAAGCTGACGTGTGCCACGGGCGGGCTCTGCTCATGAGTCCCACGCCCACCACCTGCCCGTAGCCCGAGCCAGAGCGGGGGTCACTTCAGATGCTGCAGACAGCTAAGAACCCCCTTGTTTTTGAAAATGATTTTTCTAAATGATTGTGTCAGCCGTGAGCGGGTGACGGTAATTTTACGGATACATTTCATTTAAGAGCTGGCGTCCAGGTCTCGATGAAGTCTCCTATGGGCCCTGTGGTAGGTAAGGGCGGTCATAACCTGGGAGGCCTGGAGTTTGAAACTCAATCTAGATATTTCAGTTTGCTCCTGAAATCTGCTTCATGAAGGTCAGAGTCATTAAAAGTATGTAAATATAAACTAGTCGTTAATCAACAGAGAACAAAACCAGACTTTAGCTCTTTGTGTGTAAACAGCATCCTTGCTGCCTTCTTAATTAAGCTGAGACGCAACTCACAGTTTTTCTGCGCAAACTAACGTAGCAGCAGTGGCAGGTCCCATGGACTCCATCTAATCATCAGCCTCCTCCACGGCACTGAATCAGATGTTGCTTTTCCAGCTTTCAGAGTTTACTAAAAGTCATTTATGTAAGTAACGGCCAGTTTCATCTTGGCGCACGCTTTTGTTGAGCTGGTTGAGCTCAACAGTAATAAAATGCAAATAAACATACAAAGCGACGTCTTAATACAAGACACCGCGGATGCCGAAGGCAGGCTCGTCAGTAGAAGGGCTACTTCAGTGTTAGTTGATGGGTAAGAGAAAAACTATTCACAGACACCATCACATTGATAAAAGCGGTTAATTTTTAAAAAGTCATTGTCATCTTTTAAAGACAGACGGCCTATCCCCTTGACCTACGCTCGCATTGTTGTCTAATAAGTAGATACAGAAGTGCTTGGTGAAAGCCTGTTGATGCGTCTATGTGTGGGCATTTCTACATGGAACAAGATTCCCGGAGCTGTGCGAGCACACGCTGCGGCGGACAGATTTTCACCGTCACAGCCCACACCCACAGCTCCCGAGTGGGGGGGCTGTCTGCACAAGCTAATGGAACAGCAGTGCCAGGTCCGATGATCGCCACCCAACACCTGAGCGCCCGGCAACAGGCAGCTCGTGAGGCCGAGTGTCTCGGAAGGAGCTCAGAACCGCGTGCGGCGGGCGTTAGGGGAGGCAGCAGCCGGACTGGTGCTTAGAGCAGCAGGGTCAAGAGACCACCGAGCTGCTCTGAGGGGCCTGTACTAGATGCAGTGCTAACCAGGTACCCCCAGTTTTCAACCATTTGCGACGGTGCCTGTGCCTTCGGCAGCGCGAGCCCAGAGCGCGCTCCGCTTCGTGACAGGGGTGAAGCTGTGCTTTTTTGCACCAGCGAAAAAGCACAACATTTTGCAACAGCGAAATCAAGCACAAGAATGAGCCCACCAAGCTCCTGCGTAGCTGCCATGTCATCCTGTTGTGGGTTTTGTGTACTGAGCTTTGGGTGTTATTGCGACATGGTAGGTTACTGGGCAGAGGCCTGGGGGTGCTCAAAACTTTCCCCTCTTTGGGCCTCGTCTCAATTCTGTCACCTATAGAGCCGAGTTCAATCCCCAGCCAGGGAGCTAACTAAAATGGCACATCAGAACTTGCCTGTCTTGCCCGCTGCTCCCCTCAGCAGTGTGTTTCACTCAATCCACCTGTTCTGCCCCCTGCTCTGTCTCTGGTGAATCTTCTCACCCCCTGAACCCATGGCCTGCACCCCAGTTCTACACAAAATAAATAAAATCTTCAACAACAACAACAAAAAACCCCTATTTTCCACTTGAATAACTAGTTCTTTACACCATTTTAGCTATGAGACATTTGCTAGGATACTCAACTTTTGAGCTATGGATGAAACCAGTGCTACATTTTAAGGAAAATAGCAGTATAGTTACAATAATTATTTGTTTGGCTTCTTTGTCTTGTATTTTCACCAAACTCTCTCTTTACCTTTAGCACGGAAGCAAGAGATCATCAAAGTCACTGAGCAGCTGATCGAAGCTATCAACAACGGGGATTTCGAGGCATACACGTGAGTACGGGCTCAGCTGGCAAACTTCCAGGCCTGCAGCCCACATGTTTTCTGTACAAATGTTTTCTTTCAATATCTGATTTCATTTACATTTAACCCCAGGTTTGATCAGTCAACACAGCTTAGGTTCATGGTAGCAGGGACCTCAGTGCCTTCAGGAGAGAGATAAATGTAGTGGCGGTTTCAGTGAGAGAATTCTGATAGAAGGCTGGGCTAGGCCCTTGTCAGCAGATTTCCTTGACCAGAAACAACAAATGTTGGCGAGGATGAGGACAAAGAAACCCTTGTACAGTTGTTTGGAATGTGCACTGCTCAAGCCCCTGTGGAAAACGGTACGGCAGTTCCTCAGAATATTAAAAATAGACCTACCACATGAAACAGCAATCCTCCTCCTGATTGTCTGTCCAAAGAATGCAAGCACATGAATTCAGGGGACTATCTGCACTCCTGAGTTCATGACAGCACTGTTTATAATAGTCAAGTTAAGGAAGCAACTTAAGTGCCCAAGGAGAGAGGAGTGGGTCAAGAAGAGGTGGTATGTTTGTGAACCACGGGAAACCGCACAGCGGGGGGCAAAGCTATCTTGCCATTTCTCGCAACAGAGATGGAACTGAGATAACACAAAGCAAAATGCTCCAGAAGAACAACAGGTGACTGCAGTCATGTGTGAAATACAGAGAAGGGGAAACAAAAGGTCAGATGAAACCAAGCCAGGTCACACCGTAGACATCAGGCTGTAAAGCTCAGGCTACCGGCAGGGGAGTGGGGAGCAGGAGCCAAAGTGAGACGGGGCCCAGTGAATGGCCGTGATGCTGTACCTGAGTCCTACAAGGTGCCATTGCATCACTGTTGCCGAAATGAAGCACACATATGTAGAGCATGCTTTTCCCTGCAGTCCTGCAGAGGTGCCGGGAAAGGAAATCAGATTACAGGCCAGGCAGCTTCTTCCTCTTGAGGTAGCCCCTATCTTCCTCATCTTTGCCCCCGTCTTGTGTTTTCCTCAGGATAATGTAAACGATGGGCTCTAGGGGTGGTAATACCCAGTTTAAAGTTTATGAACTCCCAGATCATAGGCTGCAGAGAAGTCACTGTAGCAGAACACCTGTGCTGTTAGAATGGAGACTGGTGCAGTCCTACGGGAAACAGCACGGTGGCTTCTCAGAATATGAGCAATAACTCTACCACAGGATCCCGCAGGTTGACGCCCAGGTATTCTACCCCAGGGTTGCCCACACACTAGTTCGAAGGGCTGTATGCCCTCCTGTGTTCACTGCATTACAACTGCCGAGTGTGGAGAGTACCCAAGTGCCCACGGACAGGTGAGTCGGCTGAGCTGACGGGGCACACACGCAATGGAAGAGCGCTGGGCCCTAACAGCCGACGCTCCCTTGCCATCGGCAACGCCGTGGATGCAGCTGCAGGGCAATGAGCTGGGTGAAAGAGACCAGGAGGAGAAGAGAAACCTTGGGTGTTTCCAGTCATAGGTGGGAAACAGAGAAACAGTGTCAGACAGCACGAAGCCCCTCACAAATCCTAGAGAGCTGATGGTAAAACTGAGGTTAACTGAGGAAAGCTGGAGGGTAGAAAGGAAGGGCGAGAGAGCACCAGGGGGTGAGGTGAGGGCTTCGGGAGCCTGAGGCAGGAGCAGGCGTGCACCTCAAGAAACAGGGCCCCGTTCCTGAGTCATGGACTGTTGAAACCACCGTCACCTTCAAAAAGAGGAGGTCCCTTTGTAGTAACATTTCCCTGTAGGGTGGTAAAAAAAAATATGCTTTGTGGGAATGGTCATTAGACAGAAGTGGGGTACTTCCTATATTAATAGGACACAATGCAAAGGAGAGTATTTTAAATCAATTCCTTGGAGTCATGGGCATTCACTGTGCCTGATTTTGTCCACGCAGGAGCACTGGTAACCCAACAGCCCTCCCACTCGGGAGCTGTGGGTGTGGGCTGTGACGGTGAAGCTCTGTCAGCCGCATGCCGTGCAGCTCTGTGAATCTTGTTTGAAAGAGGACACAGAAACGTCCACACATAGACACATGTTAACAGGCACTCAAATACAGGGTCTCTCCATAGCTGGGCAAAAAGTTCCATCATGGGGCCTCCCTAGTGGCGCGAGGGGTTAACTCTCAGTACTGTGAACCTATGGGCAGCACAAGTCCCATCCCCGGCCAGGAAGCTGACCCACATGGCGCAGCTGACCTCTCCGGTCTCACCCCCTGCTCCCCTCAGCAGTGTATTTCAGTGGATCCCCCTGTTCTGCCCCCTGTACCCCAGCTCTTGTATGCAGAAATACATATCTGTTCTTAAAATAATAATAATAATAATAATAATAATAAGGTCCATCATAGTAAAGTAAATCTCAGATGATTTCAATGCAGAGAGGTAGTCAAAATTTTCACTTCCTGGATCTTGACAACCAGAAGTCCTATTTATAGAGACTGTAATAGCCCCAGGCAGAATAAATCCCTGTTACTATAGGAACACTGTTGTTCCCCATAAGCTTCGGACGAGATTGCATAGACATGTCTCAGAGCTTTGGAAACACCTGCCCATTAGAAGTCTGAGGCGAAGTTAAAACCCCACCTTCTCTGGAGCCACCCTGCTGCTATGACTTCCGTCGCACAAAGACGCACCAATGGGACATTCTATTTTTCAAAGTGGTTTCTACTTAAAAAGACATCAGTTCTTAAAAAGACATCAGTTCTAGTCCATACTCTGATATCAGTACTTGAAAGGACCGTACCGAATTGCCTTTTGAAGCTTGCATTGTGGTCCAGCAGTTAGGAGGTTTTGTCTCCAAATGAGGCCTTTCCACAGCTGATCAGATTTCACCCAAAGTTCACTGTATGGCCCATGGAGTCACACATACCCCAGTCCTACCAATGCACTTCTAAGTTCTTGATGCAACTTCTACTAACTCTTCACTCCAGATTTTATGTCACCTTCTCTGAGAAGCCTTCCCTGATCACCATCATCTAAAGGCAGCATTTCCCGCTCCATGTTTCCATGGGACTTAGAACCCTAAGCGGTGACCCACTGCTCACCAGAGCCAACAAGTAACCGTCTGCTCACCAACACGCCGTGTGTCACACTCCTGTGCCATTGCGCCTCCTGCCTCCTCACACCTGCCCAACTCCTACTCATGCCTCAAAACCCAACTCACATTCTCAGTTATTGTAAACCTTACTGCCCTATGTACTTATGACCTGGATTTCAAGCACTCTGTTGTGGCAAAGGATATCTGTGACAGTGTGGGTACAAAACAGCTCTTTCTGGAATAAGTAGGTTTCTCCCAAGAAAATCCACTGGCTTTCCCTGAATACGTGATATGGTTTGTCTCTGTTAAATCATGATTCTGTGCTCTTAAAGGAAACTAACCTGTAGTTTAAGCCTCTTCTAAGATTTATTTTTAAAAGTTACATAAACCTGAAAAACAGCTCATTACACAGTAAGACAGGACACCTGCCTTGAAATGCTTCCTGAGGCTTGCTTGACAGGCATGGAAAGGTGTCAGAGAAGATCCCAGCAACATAAATCAGAATCTAAGGCAGTTTCAAAGAATGTGCAGTGTTGTCTGGGAGAGCGATGGAAGATAAACTTCATTTAGGAAATTAGGAAAGCCTGGTCAATGCATGTTGAAAATAAAAAAGTAGAAGAGTTTCAAATGGAGTCTGAATTATCACAGCAGGGATCGTCATCTGCCAGCACTGGTTATGTTATTTTACCCTCGTCAAAGTTTTCTGCAAATTCATATTGTGATTCTGCTCCTTAAACCATTTTTCCAAGTCAGTGGTGGAAGTCTTATATTTTTAGCATTGTCTTAGGCACTCATTCACTGTTTGATCAGTAAGCACAGATACAGGAAACAAGAAAGTACATGAACTGATTATTTTCATTATTTTCTTCCTACAGAAAAATCTGTGACCCAGGCCTTACTGCTTTTGAACCTGAAGCATTGGGTAATTTAGTGGAAGGAATGGACTTTCATCGATTCTACTTTGAAAATGGTATGTTTTTAATTTAGTAGCATTTATTTTTCCAAATTCCCTTTGACTTCATCCCAGATTTGCCGATACTTTTCAGAAATGAAATGTCTTACCTTCCTCAAGTATTTTATTGCATAACTATTTCTTATACCTGAAATTTAAAAAACATGAGTCTTATAAGATGTATGTATTTTGAAAGATACTGGCTTTTGTAATAATAATTAAAGTTAATTGAATATACCCCCTTAATCCCAGTAATTATATGCTATGAATTGCAAAATGATTTACCACACTGAGTCCTTCAGATTTTCATGAAACACTGATTATACAGGAGAAAATAAAAGTGACAGCATGCCAGAATAGGCCACTAGAGGCGGACTTTCAAGCATATTTAGTGCTCATTTTCAAAGTGAAAGACACGAGAAGATGAGCAATCAGATACAATTTTCAGTTCAGATCACAAGAATCTTAGTGGTTTGTTGAAGGAGCAACACTGCAGAGAAAATAACGAGAAAAACTTGCAAAAACCCTTCAGGAAATCAAGAACAGTGTAAGCGAGGAACTCCCTTTCCTTCCCTGACAGCCAGAGACAGGTGAGGCGCTGTGGGATCTGCAGGAGGCGCAGAGCAGACCCAGGGCTGCAAGCAGGTCTCGCTGCATCGCCTGCACAGTCGAGCGCACTCCCGTGATCATGAGCACGCACGGACATTGCTGCTTTGGCACGGATCTTAGGTTAGGATAAGTTTTATCAGTCGCTTTTTCTAAGTGAACAAAGAGAATGATGTCAGCTGGCCTAAGCAAAGGTCCTCACGATCTGTGCTTCTGTCACTCCTCACACACTGTCTCCTTCAACTCTGTATTTTGCAAAGCGCTGAAATATGAGAATTTGAACTCAATGTGGTAAATCATTTTGCAGTTTATAGCATACTGCTACTGAGGTTTAGGGGGTGTATTCGATGAAAGTCAGTGTTTTGCAAAATACATACTCTTTCTCAACTGATCCCATTTCATCTCCAGCCAAATAAGCACTCCGGCAAAATGATGTGTCACTTACTTGAGAGGTAATATCCTAACAGGTATATTTTCAGTTGACTGTAGTACTAAGGAATTTCAATAGATTATTGGGTAACAGTGTAGGTCAGCACATTTTGTGATTACCAGCAGCACCACTAATGAATGATCGCGGTAAACAGTCCTAATTCTTGATCACTGCATCACACAACAAAGGACCAGAACCCGGCTGCACAGCCAACACCAATTCTTGAGCTTGCACTGGATGCCCACAGTGGGCTGCTGAGGAACAGACCATGTGTGTGAGTCACACACAGGGGAGGGCCCTGCCCAGCCACTTCTGCAGAGAGCCATCTCCAAGAGATGGGCATGTCCCTCGTCCTGGGCACTTTGCCAGCTAACCAAGCTGAGCGCGGCCACGAGACATCCTGGCAGCGGCCCCAGGAAAGGCAAGAAGTGCCTGTCACCTGGCCAGGCCCTCTGCAGGTCTGCCTCCAACCATTTCCTGTGACAGATGCACAGGGACCGCCATCATGCCAGCTCCCCCGCCCCCACCTCAGCTTCCAGAGTGGCATCCAGATTGTCTTCAGAGGGAGCGCAGGAAATAGATGCCCGCGCTGCCCGCTGTCCCCTCCACTCTGCAGGGTGCCGGCACTCAGGTGCGCACCCCTTGGTGGGGGTGGGGGGTGGGGAGGGTGAGCGGCCCTGCACCTGCCCGAGGGCCCAAAGCCAAGGGCTCCACGGCTCTGGTCTACTCTGGAGAAACCAAGTCTTGCTGAGCGTGTTGTCCCCGTCAGCTTTGTCCAAAGGCAACAAACCCATCCACACGATCATCCTGAACCCGCACGTGCACCTGGTGGGCGAGGACGCCGCCTGCATCGCCTACATCAGGCTCACGCAGTACATGGATGGCAGCGGGTTGCCCAAGACCATGCAGTCGGAGGAGACGCGCGTGTGGCACCGCCGGGACGGCAAGTGGCAGAACGTCCACTTTCATCGCTCGGGGTCGCCCACCGTCCCCATCAAGTGAGTACTTCCAGGCCGCCTGTGCCCCGCAGCCCCCGTCGCTAGCCGGCTGTGTGTCCCCTGACGCCCGGGGTCACCCGAGGCTGGGAATCCTCGCCTGCCTGGGAGCTGTGTGCAGGACCCCGGGTCCAGGAGGACTGGGGGGCCTTAGGCAGCTCTTCTCTCCTGGGGCTACCTGAGGGGCGTCCTGGAAGCAGGCAGTGGATTTGCAGCGCTGCGGGGGGGTGGGGGGGGGAGGGAAAGGAGAGGAATTTCTGCAGGGGTGGAGGGCGCGAGCTTCCTTTCTCATAGGCCCGGAGGGCGGGCGACGGGGAAGGGAGGCTGGCCAGAGGCAGGCCCGGAAGGGCCAGGCCCCACACCTGCTCAGAGGCCGTAGGGACGTTCTTCGGGCAGCAAAGACCTCAGCCTCACGGTAGAGGGCTGTGCGGCAGCGCCTCGCTCCCGGGGGGCGAGGTGGGGCGGGGCGAGCCGCGTGCAGAGCAGGCCCTTGCCGGGACAACGGGCAGAGAGGCGGCTCGGGCAAGGCGTGGGGCTCGCGTGGGGCTCCGGGGCCATGGGCCAGGCAGGGGGAGAGGGAGCGAGGCCCGTGCCCCGCGCCCACTCCAGGCCAGCTGTCAGCCCGCTCCCGGGAGCGCCTGGGGCGGCGCCGTGCCGTGTGTCCGCGCTCCTGCGCTCGGTGTGTGCCGCGCGGTTTCCAAAGGCCTTCTCTGAAGCCTCACGCATGGTCTGCTCTGCTCACGTTGTCACATGTGGCCATGACCAAGAACCAGAAAACTGAAATTCATCCTCAAAGCAGGAGTGAGAAAGACTTGTATTTTTACCCCAAAGAGGTACAGCGCACCTGTCGGTTCACACAGTGGGATTCCGTTAGCGCAGGGCGAGGCCGGTGGTGTTTGTCCAACTCCCTGAGCGTTTATGGGATACAGCCTATTTAAGAAAACTTCATTTCATGCCGGGGGGCTTAAATGGGGCTTCTCTTAATAGGCCTTCCTGTATTCCAAACGGGAAAGAAAACTTCTCAGGAAGCACCTCTTTGTGGCAAAACATCTAAGGCCTGAAAACCACTGACATGTGGGTCTTCTTGTAAGTAACACCCTGCTCTGTGGCCAGCTGTGGTGCCGCTGCCCACGGGGGCTGCGTGGCCATGCCCCCACACACACCCCGTGAGGGCATTTTCTCACGCCTCTGAGTGGATGAGAAACATCAAAGGGCTTTGAGACGTCATTAGCGTTTTTGCATGAGCTCTCCAGGGTGATGTCCGACCCCTGGGGGAGTGTGGCCAGTAGCTGAAGCCCACAGGTGCCGAGGAGCGTCTGTCCGCAGCAGGGGGGACGGAGCAACGGACCAGACCGCACGTCTCCCGCACACCTCGGTCTGTGCACGCAACGCTCCCATGGCCAGACCTAGTTCAGGCCAGGCTCTGGCATCTCCTGGAGCCGCACTGTTTCCCAGCCGGCTGCAGCCCCTGCTCCTTCCGTGGCTAAGGCTGATGTTAACCTGAATGTGCCCTGCCTCGCTCAGTCACTGGTCTAGAGAAATGAGCTGGTCGGTCCCTTTGGAAGCGACAGTCCTTGTTCAGTTGGTGGCCAAGTTGCATTGCCCAAGGAGTCTGATAATGACAAGCAACTAAAGATGACCTGAGTCTCCTTCAGCCAAGTGGTGGCAACCCTTACTCACTGCCTGGTCCCTAGGGTGCTGCAGGCGTCCCTCTCGACGTGCGGATGGGAGGAAAGCCTGGGTCTCTGTGTCTGTTTCAGTTTAGCTCTGTGTGGACAGGTTGACAGTTACGACCCACGTCCAGTCTGTGCTAGATCCACGTAACGCCGTGTATTTATTGCCTGAGGACTCAGCGGAGCTCTCCAGCGTACTGTTTCCCATCTAGTTGTTGAGCAGTAGCACGGGACCCCGTCACATCTGCTGCAAAGCCCAGGGCTCTCTCATAAAATGACGTCTCTGTTTCTCCCGCCCTCCTCTCCCCCTCCAGCTAAGTCTCCACCGAGCTCCTCCTGCATCCTCCGTCTCCAGGCGCCCGGCTGGCCCCCGGCCCGTCTCCTCCTCTTCATGCGTGTCACCGAGTGCATGGAGCGGTGAGGTCGTCCGCGGCACGCACCGTGACCCATCCTCTCGTGTTCCTTCCTGTACATTGTTTACACGTAACTGGGGGTGTCCCTGCTCACCCGAATCACTGTTGGCAAACAATAGGGGGCGGTCAGAGTTCCAAGGACAAGCTGTCGGTCACGTTTCTCCGTTTTATGCCAAGGTTCAACAGACTTCAGAGTTATCGTCCTCCGAGTGAGTTTGTAAGAGCAATGTCAACTTTTAAACTCTTCACTGTTCATCTGGTTTTGTTCATTTGACAACAAAAAAGAAGCCCTCAGTTTGCTGGTGTGACCCTGGCCTAATTGGGTTGGGCACTGAGCGCTTTGCTGCTGTTTAGCCATTAAAGAGGGTTGTGGTGGGCGACATCCCCGAGAGCGGCACCGTGGGAGTCGCTGGGCCGCCGCCACCGAGGTGCGGCATTCCGGTGGCTCCACGTAAACTGGAAAACTCCTTACCGAAGAGTTTGCTCACGCCCACACGGCTCGCCCAACCGACCCCTCCCCCCTTTTCTGCCGTCTCTCCGTTTTCTCCTATCGCCTGGTTCCTGCCGTTTGCCTCCCTTTTCATTCTCCCTTCCATTTTCTTCCTTTCTTTTGTTTTTGGTTTCAGTAGCGTGTGAGCAAGCGAAACTGTCTTAGTGATAGTGACGGGCTTTGGGGAGGTGATGGTTCAGGGTGCTCTCCGGGCCCAGGAAAGCGCGGACATCTTAGGGTGTGGAGAGCCCCCCGGGCTCCAGTTTGAACTGGAGGGGCCCGAGTGCTTCACCGTCGGCGCGGGAGGCTGCCCCCCGGTGTCTCTGACGCACCCCGCCAGGGGCTTCCGAGCTCTGGGGGCCCCCCGGCCTGCCGAGTTTTCTGAACCGAGAGCGCCCGTGCGAGCTTTCCCTGCTCACAGCGTGCTGAACTTGATCCTCGTGACCTGCGCTTTGTTAGCTCCTCTCGTGTCAGCACCCTGCCTCCCTGCGAGGCGCTGGGATTTTCCAGTTCAGTCAGCAAAGGGAAATCGCCCTGTTTCTGTTACGCTTCTCATTGCGCCTTTGCTCATCCAATCCTTGGCAGCTTCTTTCACGCCCCTGAAGTGCTGTATAGCGCATGGTATCCTCATCAATGTTATTTTGAGAATAGCAATCTGCAGTCCTCAGAAGCCTATTTTCAAACGCAGAAGCAAAAAAAGAAAAAAAAAAATCCCTCCCCACTTTTCTCTCATTTCCTTCCGTGTTGATTATACTAATCACCTTAGATATTGTTGCTAGTGGATGTACGGTAGATGGATTGAAGCTTTTCTGATACATATTACACGATTTAAAACAATATATATTTAAAATAAATATATACAGTCAGTGCATTGAGCCATGTTAACCTGCCAATGAGATCTGTGAAGAAGTAATGGCCTCATTTCCCTTGTTACTTTACCTTTTTGTGAAGCGGCTACACGTGGCATACATGTATTTTAAAACAAAAACAAAATAGGTATAGAGTGGTGGTTTGTTTTTTTTTGTACACTTTTAACTGAGCATGTGGTGTGGAATTATTAGCGTAGATCAAGTTTGTCTTCCTCACGCAGAGGTGAGGAACTTGTGATTTGTTCTCTCCACCACAACTGAATTACACGTTTATTATCTTCTATCATTTTGAAACACTGCAGTTTACCATGGGACACTGTATATATTTCTTGCCATAATGGTAAATGACTGATTGATATATTTAAGAGTTAATAAATTTGTGATTTCTGCCGACAGTGTGCGTCCCTCTCATTTCCTCCGCCGCGAGGCTTTAGCGGTGCTGTCGACATGGGAATGGGAGTGTTTTTCTGAGCACCAAGTAGGTAAAACAATTAAGAGCGCTGGGAGCTTCCCAGCAGTGCTGAGCAACCCACCCCCATCTGCCTGCTGGAGTGTCCGTCCGCAGCCCCATTCGGACCGTCTGCCGGGTCTCCGTCACCATGGGGGGTACGCGGGCACCTCAACACCAAGCCGCTGGGCTTGACCACGCCTGTCGCTGCATCGGGTTCTCTCGCATACTGAGAGCACCACACGGCTGTGCACACTGTCCTGCAAACAACTGCCTGCCTAGGATTAGGTCGTGCTGTCCCTTCCACCTCATTCTCCCTCGAAATTCAGCACAGACGGTCTCTTGCTGCCACAGCACCCCGCCCCCCACAGTAGGCTGGGTGTCCCTCTCCAAGCCTGCGCACTACCCAGGGTCACCCCCACTCCAGGCGCTTCAGACACAGCCCTGTGTCTTCTCCGGGAGGACAGGGATCTCCCCAGGGAGGAACTGTACCAGTCACCGACCCCTAAGCCCAAGCGAGGGCCAGGAAGTTATTCACCACCGTGGTTAAACTGGACCAAAAGGGCAGCCGTCGGGGGAGTCTGCTGTCCCCGGGGTGCCATCTGCCTCTGCTCTACTGGCTTTCTAACACCCGGCAAGGGGCCTCTCCCCTCACAAGCTTAGTTTCTGTGTGTGTAGAACAAAGAAATGGCGCAGCCACCTAGCAGCGATTGTGTGAGGGTGGAAGATCATTGTACAGAGCACCTGGGATGACATTCAGTGACAGCCGACGATGGCCGCTGTAGACGCCACGGAGCCCAAACCTGTGTTACCTGTCGAGGTCACCTGGAGTACGTGCTTATCCTGTAGCGCACTCAGGTCATATGCTCCGCAGAACATTACCTCCCTGGGGGCCCCCTGTTAGCCGCACCCTGCACAGCTCCCTTTCTGCAGGTTTACTGACAAGGGCGTATGTGTGACTGCAACACCTTGGCGGGCACATGAGAAATCCTGAGTGAGGGTCTAGCCAGAAGTCGGGAAAATGCAAACGGCGTCAAGTAGGCTCATCACATGGTGGAAGGGTGAACGCAGCGGGCTTGACCTGGAAGCGAGCGTGCGCCAGGCGGGCGTGTGCCAAGCGAGCCCATCCACTCACTGTGCACAGTGCACATTGCACTGATTTGAAGTGAGCGTGTATACAGGACACGGGGGAAGCCGCACACGGAGCAGGCGTCCGTGGTCTCGAAACAGCGCCCCCTGGCGGGCCCGAGCCTGCCGCACGAAGCCCCGGCTGGTGCTTATGGAGCAGACACAGAGCGTGGTCACCAGAACCGGAGCCCCTCCACCCCCAGGGAAACCGTGAGGGCTGGTGCCGGCCCCACCCTAGGGGGCAGCGTGGCTCTCGCAAGACTTTTACAGCTTTTCAACACAAGTCCAACATCCCTGGATTGTCCATTTAAACTGTGTCAGCTCCTTTATCCGTGTTCTTAAAAGTGGGTGTTTCCTACAGAGTCACAGTTTCTGACCGACAAAAGGTTCTGAACCGTAAGGCTCGGCCACACCGCCCACCGGCCCTGTCTTTGCCAGGATGAACCTCGGAAATGCCAGAGTCCTGATGCCCCCTTCCCCCACCCCACCAGCACACCGACAGACGCATTCCTCCCTGGGGGTGCCGAGTCTGCGCCCCCTGACGTCCAGGAGCACCCCTGAGCCTCAGCCCTCACACTGGGGGCGGTGGGCTTGCCTGCAGCACCCACCAGGACTGCCCTGGCCGCCCTCCACGCGGGAGGACATGTAATTTCGACTTCATTTTAACCAAAGACCGAGATGCACAAATGCAGTGCACAAATGCAGTGCACAAGCGACAGTGTTCCCGAGGTAGCTTGCGGCTCAACTCGAGGCAGAGCAGCTGCCCTTGCAACAGAACACGCTTCCCTCTTAGGCCAGTGTCCCGCAGGGCAGACAAAGGCCACATCGCTTTCCGGCTGTTTCGTACGGTGACAGGATAAACCCAGCCGCCCGCAGCCATGCCGGCCAGCACGCTCCTCCCAGCCGCAGGCTCAGGGCCGGCTCTGGGCACCTCAGCGAGGCCTGGCCCTGCCGCTGACACCGTCTCAGCTCGGTCGAAACCAGTTTTTTACCGAGCGGTCAGAACGCAAGTGCTGTTCCCGTCGCCCCCGTGGGAAGGCCCCACACAAGGTGCACCCCGGACCACCTCTCTGCCAGATCTCACGTGCACCCCTGTCGCCGGCCGCCTCACCCCGCCGCCTCACCCTTCCACAGTGCTCCCAGCCGCTCCTGCTCCATCAAGAAGCTTCAGGAGATGCAGCCATCTCTGTGCCCTGCCCCCGCCTCCTGGCTGACTACAGTCCTGCACCCCCAATGCAACCCCCTCGCACCTCCTTGGAGCCCCTCTTCGGCCTGTCATTGTAAATCCGACTCCCCGTTTCTGTCCTCTCTAGCCGAACTCCTGGAAACAGCTGCCTGCACCTGCAGCCTGTGGTCTCCGTTCCTCTAACGCGATCAGCCACCCAGGGGTTCACCGTCAGCCCCGAGCCCCATCCTGTGTCCTGTGTGTGGGAGTTGCTGCCACTGCAGATGGCCCGTCACTGACGCTACCTGGCCCCTGCCTGGCCCCTCTTTAACCAGACTTTGAAGTTGTAGATCTGTATTTTCTCTCTTCACTCACTCCCCAGGGGGAAGAGCATCCAACGCCAGTGGCTTGTGGGCATATTCATCACTTTGGGGTGCTTATCTACTTGAAATCCACACCAACGGGGCCCTCCCTGGTGGCGCAATGGGTTGGGAGGCAGCACTGCAAGCTGGCCGCAGCCCCAGTGTGAGTCCCATCCCCGCCCAGGGAGGTGACCCACAGGGCCCGGCAGACCTCTCCTGACCCGCCCGCTGCTCCCCTCAGCAGCGTACTTTGTCCATCTGCCTGTTCTGTTCCCCACTCTGTCTCTGGTGAGTCCTCTCACCGCCCCTGAGCCTCTGGACTGTACCCCAGTTCTACGTGCATAAATGAATAAATCGCACCAATGACATCACAGGCAGCTCGAGGCAAATGTCGGACTCTGACTGCAGGCGCTCAGTGCAAACCCTGCAGCACCCTTTCTGGCCTCCTCACCTCTCAAGAGGTGGCAGCTCAGTTCCTTGGATCGGGCCGGACATCTTGGCCTTTGTAAAATGCACTTTCTGCTGGAATCTTGGCATCTCTACCCCCTACCCAGACCCAGAGCGGGAACACTTCTCAAGCCTCTGCTGCCTGCTCAGACCAAACCACCACCATGTTCTCTCTGTTCCTGTGATGTTCCTCTATCTGGTGTTCCAGTCTCCACTTCTGTCCCTGATCCATTTATTCTCAAGGCAGTATCCAGAACGTTCTTGTCAAAACATAGGTCCAACCACGTGTCCCTCCTCTGCTCAGTCATCCGAAAGGTATTTGGAGTGGAATGAAAAGTTCATTGTCCTCTTTCACCAACAGAAACTCGAGGCGCCCAGTACCTATGAGTCACCTAAAAGTCAACCCAGGGGCTGGAAATTGCCTCCATCACTATGACTTGAAAAAAAATAAATAAATAAAAGGAAATACTGCTGTAGCTAAGAACACAGTTTGAGCGTCAAAGTACACATTTCGGAACTTGTCTAGTCCGCAACTGGAATCCCAAATGTCTTGCTAATGAAAATATCGTTTCACAAAAGGGCTAGCTGTGTAAGCTGCAGGCTTGAATGACTCAGCATCGCAAGGGGCCCGAGAGTCCTCTGTGTTCTTCTCGCCATCCAAGAATGTCCCTCTGGTCTCCCGGTTCGGAGCCATCTCCTGTCACTTCCTCACATCACCTCCAGGGAGGCTGGAGTCCAGGGAGAGCTCCCTGCCTTCTTTCCCCTCCCACCCACCTCCCAAAAGCAGGTAAAGTGCTTTCCCAGGCAGCTCTGACCCATGAGGCTAGCCCGGGGCAGCGGGGGGCTCCCTCCCCCGACAGCGGGTATTCACAGGAGGGCATTGCAGGGCTTTCCAGAAAGTTGGAGCACAGGCGAACAGCAACAGAAAATGTCTTGTCCCCTTTGAAGCTACTGTTCTAAGCATATAATGGAAACAGCAGCATCTGTACACAAACTATCTCCAGAAACATCTCTACGTTGATTTCTCCCTTGCAAGCTGCTCTTGCGTGTCATCAGATCGGCGGAAAAGATCAGAGGAAGCTTCCCCATACTCTACATCTCTGCAAAGGCAGCTGCCTGGAGCCAGGGCAGCTCTGGCAGGCTGGACACTCCCATCGCAGGCCGCTGGGGCTCCTTGGCACCCTCCTGACGCCCCCACTCCGCCCCGGGCGGGACCCGGTAAGCAGGAAGAACTGTGTTGGGCTGCGCCACCCCTTGCACTCAGCCACATCAAGCAAAGTGTCCAAAACGGAGGGGACAGGGCCCCGCGCTCACGAGCGGTGGCCGGATCTCTCCAGTTCTGCTTTGCTTGTCCCTCCCCTTGCCTACACTCCTGCCCAGATCTTTGTGTGGATGGACTGGGGTTTCTCACCATGTCTTGACCTTTGCGATCGGCATGCCCGTTTTCCTAGGGATCATTTAGGAGTGCTTAATTACTCTGCGGGCTGGCGAGTGCACCTCACAAGCCCAGAAGTCCCTATGTCACTACTCAGCCAGAATTCTCAGTCTGGAAATTATAGATTAGATAAGATTGCTTTGAGAACTCAAATGGGTCCAACATCCTTTGTAACTTTCTCATTACTTTTGTTGCGTGGGTTGTATAATCCAGAGACTTCTAGAGAAGCAGAACCAACAGGCTATATGAAATATCAAGAAAGACTGGTTAGAAGGAACAGGTTTGTATGATTTCAGAAGACAAATCCCAGGATAGGTATTCAGAGGCTGGAGACTCATAGATGCCAATGGGGTAACTCCAGTTAAAAGCCAGCAAGCTCAAGAACGAAACTGAACCAGTGACATAGTTCA